TGCGCATGTGCCGGAGATCGCCGATCGGCTGCTAATGCCTGAAACTGGCACATGCGCAGATACGTGGAGGGGGACAGATCCTCATAGGAGACAGATTTTCATGCTACACCGGAACGGCGAGAGGAACGCGCGGAGCAAAGGTAAGTGAATTGACACAGGGGGGGCTTGGGGACTTAATATGGGGGGTGAATTAATATGGGGGATGAATTACTATATGGGGGATGAATTACTATGGGGGATGAATTACTATAGGGGGGGATGAATTACTATATGGGGGGTGAATTACTATATGGGGGATGAATTACTATGGGGGATGAATTACTATATGGGGGATTAATTACTATGGGGGATGAATTACTATGGGGGATGAATTACTATGGGGGATGAATTACTATATGGGGGATTAATTACTATGGGGGATGAATTACTATATGGGGGATTAATTACTATGCTTACTATGGGGGAATATTACTATACTTACTATGGATGACACATACACATCATTCATCTACTCTTGGTCCGGCCCCCGGGTCCAATATATGAACCCATTGCGGCCCTCAAGTCAAAAAGTTTTTCAATAAATTTTTTTAACATTTTCTAATGGTGGTGTGCCTCGTAATTTTTTTCATGAAAAAAGTGTGCCTTTGCACAAAAAAGGTTGAAAAACACTGCTATAGAGATCCATCCCCCATTTCCTTCGCCTGCGTGGAGTGCAATTTTTCAGCAGTGATTATGTCACAATGAAGAAAATATATTTATGTTTTTTTAAAAGTACAGCAGTTATTTAAATTATTATACAGGAATAATAATATATATTTAAATAACTGCTGTATGTTTTTTAAAAAAATCTTTTTTTTTTCATTGTGACATCACCACTCTTTTTCAGTGTTTTTACTGTGATTGGGGAAAGGGAACTAAGTAAGAAAAGTGTCCAGGATCACGGAGTTCTGCTTTATCATAACAGTTACAAGTCCCCCTTGTAACAGTTTTATTACCAGTTGATCCTGCCAGTAATTCCTATTATTTAACTTCCTTTAGCAGATCAAGCTGTCCAGCAAACGTGTCAGTTAGAGAATTGAGACAATCTATTTAACACTGACAGGGGTTCTTACAATGATCAGCTATTATTTATGGAAAACCTTTGTCCCAAAAGTAAAAATATCTGCATCTGCTTAAAAAGTGTTAGCTGGGGTTAAGCTGTCATGTATAAGGGCTCATTCACAGAGGTGACATTAAAAGCAGGCAGTTGAGCTATGGTTTTACAGTCTCTTAATTACCAACCTAAACATTGGAAAAACAGCCACTCAGGGCTATACCTATACTGTGGCTGAAATGCTTTGCTTCATCGCCGCAGCAAAGTTTAAATGTGCGCATTGACATAGCCCATTCAAGTGAATCGGGCCACACACCGAAACTACCCTCCAACCACATGCATAAGGCGTGGTGATTCCACACTCAGGGTTAAAAGGAGGTGGAGAGGAGGCAACATATTACCTGCTCACTGCCTGTCAAGCCTTCTATGAAAATCAATCCACCACAGATCTCTTTTTAGAGGGGCAGCAGCGTAGCCGCACATGTGAACAAGCCCTAAGTCACATATGCAGGGCTGACATGAGTTGGATACACAATTAGGGGCCCTGGGTTCCAACCAGGGTCGTCTTTAACGCGGGCCAGCTTTCAGAGTGAGCTGGCTGCAGAGGAGGGTGGAGTGGTGGGCGAATCACAGGTGTTTGCAGGGTGAGGTTGAGGCCCGCTGTCAGACAGGCTCCAGTTAGTGTAATGGAAACTTTGAGAATACCAGGTAAAACTCCGGACACAAACTTGAGGAAAACAAACTTTTTATTAACCAGTGCTGGTTGAGACTTAGCAAGGACTCGTGTCTGCAAGCTAAGTGCCTTGAAAAGCATCTCACAGGGTATAGATATCAGCAATTATGTCACAATGCATATATTTCCTCTTTCACTTTCTGTACATTCAAAAGACTTTCTAAACAGTGGCAGAGTATGACCTTGTGTTTTCACAGATAAATAAAAACTCTTCAGCTGAAAATAAGGGTACCAGGTGCAGACTGGAACACATTGTTACACAGGAAATACAGGAGGAGGGAAGTGAGCTGATAACTTTGCTTTTCAAACAGATGCGGTTAGAAATGTTAAAATTTAAGGGGAACTCTACAATATTTGGGTGCTGCCACAATAGGAACTGCAGTGTGTTCCGGGCTGTGCAGGGAGGTTGAGGCCAGGAGGTGCCCCGTGGAAGAAGAGCGGTGGGCCCTGTGGAAGAAGAGCAAGGAGAGTACGAGGTCAGAGTGGAGGAGCCCCTCCCTCTTTATTCCGGGTGCTGCCAGAGAGCCTGGTGGAGATAGGAGACTAGCGACCATTCTGGCAACCAGACTAACCTCTCCCCTGTCAGGATGGACCCTCTTCGTCTAGGATAAGTGAGAGCTGGTAGGACTTGCTAAGCGACCATGTCCTGGCACCAGATCCTCTCCACTGTCTGGAGGACCCGCTGCTGGATAAGTGAGAGCTGGGAGGACTGGTGCTTCCCAAGGTGTGTGTGAACACATAGTGAATGACACTCCCCCTTCTGTCCCGCTGCCCCCATCCCCCATGACACTTCCCCCCCTCCTGTCCCAATGCCCCCCCCCTCCTGCCCCCTCTTTTCTCCCATTGCCCCACTCCTGTCATGCTTCCCCTCTCCTGTCCCACTGATCTTCTCCTGTGTCACTCTCCCCTCATGTGCCACTCTCCCCTCCTGTGCCATTGCCCCCCCACATGGAAGAAAAATATATATGAAATATATTTTAAAAAATATTACACATACTGTATGTTGAAATGCGTTTTTAATGCAAAATATATGAAAAATATTTTTAAAAATACATTTTCAAATATACTGTATGTCTTTAAAAATCCAAATCTACATTTTTGGAATGCATTTACAAATCTATGTTAAAATCTGAAGAGGAGTAGGCCAAAATTCCTCCTGAGAAACCTGGTGGCCAATTACAGGAAACGTCTGACCTCTGTGATTGCCAACAAGGGATTTGCCACCAAGTACTAAGTCATGTTTTGTGAAGGGGATCAAATTCTTATTTTCTTCATGAACATGCAAATCAGTGCATCATTTGTTAGACATGCATTTCTTTAGAATTTTTTGTTGCTATTCTGTCTCTCAGTGTTACAATACACCGAACATTCGATTTTTTAGACTGATCATTTCTTTGTGAGTGGGCAAACATTCAAAATCAGCAGGGGATCAAATACTTATTTCCTTCACTGTATGTACGTATATATCTATATATAGTTTTCATATGAGCCCAGGATAATACATATTTCCCCTTTAGATGGTTTTCTTTCTACCCCATTGGGCATCTGAGAAGTGTCTTATTAGATTTACATTTTTGTCCAGCCCATTTTGGTCTGATAAATTACATTTAATTTCATCCAGTTTCCCTTAGCATTCTTTGTATTCCTCATTCAGTCATTATAAGTGCATGACTTTTTAAAAGAATTCTATTTAATTTTTATCTAACAGGTTAGAGAGATTGCCATTTATATATACACACACATTTTGTATATATATTTCATGTGGTCAGCCCATGCTGCACATATTTGGGACTTCTCTTCACTCCCTCCACCATCACCATTATATTTTTTTTATTTCAACATCCTGTCAAATTACAATTTCCAGTATTATTACCATTTATTTGACTCTGGCCCCTTAACATTCCCTTCCTTCTTTTTGGAAGCTGTCATATGCTTCCTTTGCCCATTTTCGCAGTGCACTTTCGCCCTACAAATAATGCATTTCCTGTGCGCCTCCCTCTGGGTGCGTTTGAGAAGGCACGTGTGCCCTGCACTATTCCTAGTAGCGTGCATGCGCAGTTCCTGGGGTAATGGCCGGTGCCATCATGGTGTACGCTCCACATACTCAGAATTCCATGAGGCTGCACAGTCATCGCCACCTCTCCTCCATTTAAGGGACATCATACCATATGCAGTAAGTCCTTCATATTATTCATGCTTGCGGCATACAGTTCATTGTTTGCACACATCTTTGTACAAGCATCATTTCCATTTTATTTAATTCATGGAAGTGACACCCCGCAGAAAATAGCTTTAGGACCCAGCAGTGGGGCTATTTTTCATGGAGGGGGTGAGGTGATGATTTCAATCAGTATTTCTCCCTATATATGGGGCATGTGTATTTCCTACCATCTTAGCTTTGAAAAAGGGAGTTAAACTCCCGAAATGCATCAACTTTTTCCCACCGGGGACTCCATCATCACAGGACTCCAGTCGTGTGACATTGAACCATTTGGCTTCATGTTCGTTTTTTTTACATTTGTTTTTGTGAGTATTCATTTGTTAAGACTGTAATAAATTCATTTGTAACCACGTTAATGCACGAGGAGAGTGCGCCCTTTTGTGTTTTTCATTTGCTAGTATCAAGAAATAAGAGTGTATCTAAAAAAGGCATTGGATAGTGTGGGAGAAAATAAGCCTAGGGCAACTCAAACAAAGAAACCTTTTAATCAACTGCATGTTTGTCCACAATACACTATGTTCAAAGTGATGCTAAAAAGGTGACCTGTAACCTGCAGATAAAGTGTCCCCCCCCCACACTATGTTATGTGTTCTCATTAACATAAAACATACCTAAAGAGAAAAAAAAAAAAGGAAGAGGTATTTATAGCACTACCCCCTTATGAGATTTTGGGTCCCTTAGGAGATTTTATAGTCCTGCACAGCCAGGCATCCCACATTTCCACAATAGCTTGCATCCAGAGTCAGAAACCAGTCATTCAGCTTTGGTTTTGTTGTTTTATTGAGGGGATTTGAACTGGGATAGGGTTAGGGGTGTACAGGATGCCCAAGGGAACTGATAAAGTGAGGACAACTTCCTGGAACCATTCACAAGCCTTCTCTGCAAGCAGAGTCTCTGTTGGAGAGCTAGCCAACATCTCCATAGTGCAGGGGTGGGCAACTGTGGCCCTCCAGCTGTTGGTGAACTACATGTCCCATCATGCCTCTGCCTTTGGGAGTCATGCTTGTAACTGTCAGTTTTGCAATGCCTCATGGGACTTGTAGTTCTACAACAGCTGGAGGGCCACAGTTGCCCACCCCTGCCTTAGTGTATACTACTCCAGATCCTAGATGAACTCCTCTTCTTCACCCAGCAATCTGGAAGTGTCCCTGAACAGTGGATCCGGTTCCTGTCACTTTAAAAGATGAAACAGTCACTGGTAGGTGGCAAATCTGGTTTCCTACCAGAGTGCTCCTTCCCCTATCCGCCCAGGGGGTGTAGGTGTACTCACTCAGATCTTCTCCTGTACCGCTGGTGGGTTTGTGGCTTCTACCAGGCCTATCAGCTGGGCTGTTCCTTCCCTGCCATACAGGTGGTCCTCTCTCAGGGGGCCAGTAAGTGCTGAGCTTTCCTCCTTTCCAGCTCCAGGCCTACAGGTAGGCCCCATCCCACTGGGCCTCCTCACAGCCTCCTTCCTTCAGTCTCACATCTTTCTCTCTTGCTCCCACCTGAACTCTCCTCACATTGGACAGGCTCACTCATACTTAAGCGCTATTCTGACCCCTTGCCAAGCCTCCTGTTTGGGATTGGTCAGAGTCTCTTGAATATGCAGATCAGCCACTCCTTACATCTGCCTGCTGCTTCTAGAACTTTTTCCAAAGTTCTAGGTGGGGGGGGGCAAGTCTCAGAGGGATGAGTCTGCAGAGCCTTCCAGCTCCTAACCAAAATTTGACCCCTCTATTATACCTGAGCTGCTATTTAGCCGCTGTCTAACTATTAGGATCTAGATCCCCCTACCTGACTGGGAGGGCACTACAGTATGTTTTGAATAGCTTGCAATGTGCAATTAGGAGATAGACGTAAGGACATTTTACATACAATGTACAACCAAAGCCTTGAGATCTTTAAACCTTTGTTAGGACTAATTTAAAACCGATAATGCAATCTGCCAGCACAGTACAGACAGGGTTAATTATAAAAAAAAAAACATAACTCTCCAGTCCCCCTCCTTAGCATTACATAAAACAAGGGAAGCTAGGTAGAGTTTTTAAGCATGTAAAAAGCAGCAATTTTTGAAATATTTAATTATAAACGTTATGCCATGTGAGTGGAAACATGTAACAAATATAAAGTAGGTGTTATCCCACTTAGGCTACAAAAGTGGAAATACAATTTTAAATCTCTTTAGTAGCACACAGAGATGTTGCTGTCTCCATCTCAAATTTACTCTCTGCACCCTGGAAAATCAGAATTCTAAATTTTGAGTTGTCATCAGAAATAAAGGGAGAGAAAAATTTCCCAATTAGGCTATTTGCTTTAGTGACACTGATCTAAAGCTGGCTATAGAATAGTACAGTGGTCTCCAAACTGTGGCCTTGGGGCCAGATGTGGCCCTTTTCATGCTTCTATCTGGCCCTTAGATCATTATGTCATCCACTGACACCAACAATGAGAGCATAAATCCCCCCATTGCCACTATTATTATTATTACATCGCATTTATATAGCGCCAAAGGCTTTGCTCAGCTCTGTACAATAGAGGGGGGGGGGGGGACAATACATGAAACAGTACAGCAACAACAAACAGCACACGAGGGTTAGAGGGCCCTACTCTTTCAGGAGAAAGTGGCTGTGGGGGATGGAGTGGTAGGAGGAATGAAGGAGAACGGCTGTTAGGTGAGGGTGGGGTAGGCTTCCCTGAAGAGGTGGGTTTTTAGGGAGCGCCTGAAGGTGAGGAGGGAAGGTGACAGTCTGATGGATTGGGGTAGTAAGTTCCAGAGGATGGGGGAGGACCTGGAGAAGTCTTGCAGTCGTGCATGGGAGGAGGAGACCAGGGAGCAAGATAGAAGGAGGTCCTGTGAGGAGCAAAGGGTACGGGTAGGGTGGTACCTGGGAATCAGGTCGGTGAGGTAGTCAGGGGCAGTGTTGTGAATGGCTTTGTAGGTCAGGGTTAGTAGTTTGAATTTGATGCGTTGGGCAATAGGGAGCCAGTGGAGGGATGGAAGCCAGTGGGAGGATTGGCAGAGAGGGGGGTGGCGGAGACAGAGCGGTTGGAAAGGTGAATGAGTCTGGCAGCCGTATTCAGGATCGACTGAAGCGGGGATAGCCAGCGGCGAGGCAGGCCAGTGAGGAGGGAGTTGCAGTAGTCGAGTCGTGATATGATGAGGGAGTGGATGAGCTGTTTAGTGGTTTCTGGGGTTAGGAACGTGCGGTATTTGGCGATGTTGCGGAGGTGGAGTCTGCACGAGTTTGTTAAAGATTGGACTTGGGCTGGAAGGATAGGTTGGAGTCCAGAATGACACCCAGTACTCTGGCCCTGCAGGGACGGGTTTGATGGTAGCGTTGTTGGACGTGACGGAGAAATCAATGGGGGGTGGTGTCCGGGCTGGTGGGAAGACAAGAAACTCGGTTTTGGAGAGGTTCAATTTAAGGAAGTGGAGCGACATCCAGTCTGATATGTCGCTCAGTAGGTGTGTGATTCGGGCTGAGACAAGGGGGTGAGGTGGGGGTTGAGAGATAAATTTGTGTGTCGTCGGCATAGAGGTGGTAGTTGAAGCCGTGAGAGTGTAATGAGTTTGGCCAAGGGAGGAGGTATAGATGGAGAAGAGAAGGGGCCCGAGGACAGAGCCTTGAGGGACCCCAACAGAGAGGGGAGTGTTAGTGAGGGGGGAGGTGGTAGCATTATAGGTAATGCTGAAGGAGCGTTGTGACAGGTAGGATGAGAGCCAGGAGAGAGCAGAATCTCTGAGGCCGAGGAGTGTAGTTTTTTGAGGAGGAGGGGGCGTGGTCGACTGTGTCGAAGAAGGCCGCAGAGAGGTCAAGGAGTAGGAGCACTGAATAGTGGCCATCATTAGCTTTGGGCGGTTAGCAGGTCGTTGGAGAGTTTGAGTAAGGCAGTTTCGGTGGAGTGTAGGGGACGGAAGCCGTACTGTAGGGGATCGAGGAGGTTGTTGTCGTTGAGGTGAGAGCATAGGCGGGTGTAAGACTAGGCGCTCGAGGAGTTTAGATGTAAATGGGAGCAGGGAGATGGGTCTGAGGTTGTTCGGGTCATTGGGGATCCCAGGGAGGGGCTTTTTTTTAGTATGGGGGTGATGTGTGCATGTTTCAGAGGGGAGGGGAGCAGCGACGAAGTCCCTGCGGGTTATGTCGAGGGGGAGGGGGGATAAGATAAGGGGGTAGCTGTGTGAGAGGGGACGGGTTGAGAGGGCGTGTGAGTTGCGGCAATGTCCTTGCGAATTGTGTCAATCTTGTTTTTGAAGTGATTGGCAATCTCAAGGGCAGTGAGTGAGGTGCTGGGTGGAGGTGGGGGTGGAGAGAGTAGAGAGCTGAAGGCAGAGAAGAGTCGGCGAGGATTGGAGGAGAGGGCCTTGATGAGGGTCAAGAAGTAGGCCTGTTTGGCAGCATGGAGGGAGGAGGTGTAGGTGCGGAAGGCAGATTTATAGCGGGTGAAGGCTTGTTGGGATTTGGATTTGCGCCATAGTCGCTCCAGGGCACGACTTTGTCGTTTGAGGGTTTTGGTGTGATCAGTCTGCCAGGCACAATTCCTCACTATGACATGAATGAAGTGGCACAGTTCTCCCAGTGACACCAACAATGGGGCTCAATGACACTAACGATGGAGCACAATTTCTCTCAGTGACATCACTGATGGGGCACTATTCCTTTCACTGACACCAAAGATGGTGCATTGTTTATGCCTGCTGATGCCGGGACATTTCCTACTCTCAATGTCCACAGTCCAGCCCCCGTAAAGTCTGAAGGACAGTAATCTGACCTTTTGTATAGTTAAATAGTATAAGTATGGAGACCCCTTCACTAGTAGAACAAAATGTTCTTAAATTGAAACTCTTCAAGCAAAATTCTATTTTCTAATTGTTAGTGGGGTCAAATCAATGTTTATTATAGTAACAGGAAATTTAAAGGGGCAGAATGGAAATTTTTTCTGAAGCAAAATTAATTTCTAACAGTGTATGTGGACTTGTTTGGAAGATTAAATTAATTCCAAAATCGAATGTTATCGGCAAAATAACATTTTGAACTTCTTTAAAAAATGACATTGATCAAATGTACTGAGATGTTTCATACAAATGTTCATTTGAAAATCTGCTAGCCTACAGTCAGCTTTAGAGGGGAGCTTCCATGGTTTGGAGAAAAATTCTCTAATATCCTGTTGGGATAGAAAGTGATGAGTGAATGGACTGGCTTTGGAAATACTTAACACACACCTAACCCTTGCTGGGCCAAGGAATTAATGGAGTCTCTGTGTGACTGACATGTAGGAATGATTCAGACACCTGCTAGAAAGTCACTGGTTTCAGTATACCCAACAATGATGAGTCACACACAGGATGTCATTACAGTACCTTCACGTGGTTTATTCGGTTCTTTCTACATCCAAACTTTCAGTGTAAACAGTCAATCTTCATACAAGGCTGATATTTATTTTAGAATTAGCTGTAGCAATTTTGTAACAGCGTGATCACATTGGAGGTTTTCCATTTCCCTTTTCTTGTGCCAAATGCACGGCACGGATTTATTATAAAGAGTACCTGTAGTATACACAGAACTGAAACTCCTATTTATTCCCCCATTTATTCCATTGATTTAACAACTTACTTAAAGAGTAACTCCATTTTTATGGGAAAAAAATAATCAAAAATTAAAATAAAACATAGAAAATATAATTGCAACACAAGCCATAATATATAACATTATTAACCACTTGCCCTCCAGAGGATTTAACCCCTTTCCTGACCAGGCCATTGTTTATGTTGCGGCGCTGCCAGGGACGTATTTACAGCGAGGCAAACAAGGCATTTGCCTAGGGCGGCATTCTCAGGGGGGGCGGCGCCGCCCCCCCCCCCCCCGGCAGAAGTGACACAGGACATGGCAGTGCACACAGGAGCCGTTATCTGCAGGGTACACACAGTCAGGTCAGAGGGGATAGAGAGGAGGAGCTGAGTGGCCAGACGAGGAAGGAGCCTCCACTGATCAGAGTGATCTGAGTGCTGGGACTGGATGCTCAGCTCTGCTCATTGCCTGTGTGTGCAGTGACATTGCTATGGGATGGGCGGACCGAAACAGGGTCCATCAGCAGGGGCATATGGGCCGACACCGTAC